ATATACACGTGTGTGTTTATTTTTTCATTAACTAAATTAAGACTAAAAATTCATGTTCGTGATTCAGAGCCAAAAATAACCTTCTTTCCCTATCTATGCCCAAATGACCATGTACGCACCCTGACGGCAAGAAAGTCTGTCTGTATCAGAGATTCAAGAACGCTCACGTAGTATTTCCGCCTCAGCAATAAAAATAAATAGAAAAATGGTTGTGGTCGACATTTGAAAACTAAACATTTCTTAGTTGATGATTAAATTCACAAATCCCTGATTTTTTACAAATGTATTTGGTTGAATTCACAAGTAAATACAGTTGTTTTGTCATTCAAAATCCCCCCCCCCCCAGTGGCACAGCGGTATCTCTGCAGGCTTACAACGCTAGAAACCGGGTTTCGATACCCGTGGCGGGCAGAACACAGATAGCCCATTCAAAATATTCATGAATGTAACCTATCAATCTCTTGCATAATTCTACTTCGTCATGGCAAGGTGGTTAGAACGCTTGAGGGTCGCGGGTTCGAATGCCCGTCCAACGAAACATGCTCGCCCTTTCAGCCGTAAGGGTGTTATAATATGACGGTCAATCCCGCTATTGGTTGGTAAAAAAGTAGCTCCAAGAGTTGGTGATGACTAACTGCCTTTCCTCTAGTCTTTCACTGCTAAATTAGAGAAGGCTAACGCAGAAATTCGAAACAAAGAAACTATGTACTTCGTCACTGCCTTTGAAGTCAGTTTTAGTTACAGTGGAAGCCAATTTCTATTGTGAAGCCAAACTTGGATTACTGCAAGTCCAACATGAAAGTTTTACAATATAGCGATACTTCTAGGAGATGTTTATATCTACGTTGGTTGTTATTAAGCGCAAAGCTACACAACGGGTTATCGAAACCCGGTTTTTTTAGCAGGTGAGCCCACAGACTATTTCTAGTAACACACAACTTTCCTGGCCTGTTATATTTTAAATCTTGAATATTATATTGAAGAGAAGAACTGGAAGGTAACATTAATCTTTTTTTTATGTTTTTAAGTTACTTGAGTCAAAATTATTAATCTCTTTTAAGTTTGGCCCGGCATGGCCAGGTGGTTAGGGCGCTCGACTCGCAATCTGGGGGTCGCGGGTTCGAATCCCCGTCCCGCAAAACATGCTCGCCCTTTCAGCCGTGGGGGCGTTATAATGTGACGCTCAATCCCACTATTCGTTGGCAAAAGAGTAGCCCAAGAGTTGGTGGTGGGTGGTGATGACTAGCTGCTTTCCCTCTAGTCTTACGCTGCTAAATTAGGGACGGTTAACGCAGATAGCCCTCGTGTAGCTTTGCGCGAAATTCAAAAACAAACAATCTTTCAAGTTCTATTTTAACTTGTTTTAAGGGCCTGGAAACTAGATATGCAGCTATAAAGAGGAACATGCTGTGTTTTAAAAGGTTTATTTTTATACTTTAACAACGTCGTTACGATGTTTGCCAAACACTCATAAGTAAAACAATCAAAACATAAACTAAAATGACACAGAAAAATCAAAGAGTTATTGTTTTGTTAAAGAAACAAAGATCTCGAGTTTATTAATAACATATTTCGTAGTGGTTTCAGTATTTTGTAATGACTTGGTACCACTTAAACTGGTGTCATTTTGAAAAAGTTTCGCGTACTTCGCCTATTTTCTAAACAACGATCTATAAACGGAAGTTTTATTATGGACTTGTTTGTTTGTTTTTAATTATGCACAAAGCTACACAAGGGCTATCTGTGCTCTGCCCACCACGGGTATCGAAACCCGGTTTCTAGCGTTGTAAGTCCGCAGACATATTATGGACTTATCTGTAATGTAAAGGTAAGGAAGACAACGACTAGAACCATTAAAAACCATGATTATCGTTCTCCAATAAGATGGACAAAATAGGAAACTCTTCTAAATAAAAAAGCAAGGCTTAACCTGATGGTCTACTTCGTTCGATATATCTAGACAAAGAAGTAAAATAAAAATATGATAAAGCATTTAGGTATACATATTCAGAAACCACATCCAGACATAAATTGTTAATTATTCCGTTAACACCCAGTTTGCGAGTCGATAAGACTGAATTCGGGGGATTGGATAGTATACGGGTTGATACAAGATAGAACCAATAATGAATAAATTCATGTCATTTGTGTGTATTGAACGCATTGTTTTTTTGTTTTTTTTGTCCTTTGTTCGCTTACACCCTTCACCAACAGGAGGTGCTAAAGTCATACCTTTTGTTCTGAGAGAACAGATTGTTATTAGTTTTAACCAACAAGATCCAAACTGAATTTAGTTTTAACCAACAAGATCCAAACTGAATTTAGTTTTAACCAACAAGATCCAAACTGAATTTAGTTTTAACCAACAAGATCCAAACTGAATTTAGTTTTAACCAACTAAGATCCAAACTGAATTAGTTT